GTTTCGCGTTTCTGCCGCTCCTTTTGCCTTTTCCTCCGCTGTCGAGTCATTGAACAACATCAGTAACATTGGTGAGCTCTAGTACCAACGATTGGTAATCGCGAGCAAATATCCGTGCTACATCGGCACACAAAATGAAATAGGTATTATTCCGTAGCGTGTCGAATCGCTCATATAATTGCCCTGCCCGTTATGTTGACAGTAATCAGAAAAAGCCCCTAGCCCAAGCGTGCTAGAAGCCATTCTTGTGCCAAGGAAAAGCAGGGCGCTATTTGTAGAGCGAACAACTTTTGTTAGTCGTCATTCCTTATGACAGCGTGAATAATCAATATTTTATGAGAGTTTGGTGCCCATCGCGGTGATTTGAGGTCGTTATAATCCATTGAACCAAATGTAACAATATGTTTCCCTATTCCCGTGCGGATATAAAAGCCCACGCCAGCTTAGGAGGGCATCAGAGTTCCGTTCCGGATACGACTGAGATTCTTCGCAATGCTTATGGTAAGAGTAAGTTTTAGTGGTCACACCAGTTTTAGACTACCTAATGAACTTTTCAGCTCTGCATTCTTCTGCTAAGCCTCTGCGGGTTATGCATTGGGTACCGTGAGAATCCAGACACAAGTAAGTTTTATGCTTTCATTAATGGAAGGGATTAATCCAGAGGAAAAAAAACAACATCAAGAAAAACAACAACAAACGGAAAATGTTGCACAGCTACCAATTTGGCACCTAGTCTGCCCTCACCATATTCTGCCCTTACAACAACTGCAAGACTTGAATCGGTATAGGTCGAATCTGTCTATAACCACACTCTCAGAAGGCATCCTTTCAGCGCGTCGTCGCGCATCGAGGCATTACCGCATTGACAGGGTGAGCCCAAACGCCAGGCAGAGTGAGAGTGAAGAGAATGGCGGCGCATGGCAAAACTTCAGTTGTAGAGCAGATGATAGATGAGGCGTGCGTGAACCTCCAGTGGTAAGGGGAAAGGAAGCGCAACTACAGGTTACTCTAGGGATCTGAGAAGCAGCAGGATACTGCGAGTGCCACATACTCCTGCTGCTCATGTCTTAAAAAGGGAAGGACGGAGCTCCTGTCCTATAACCCGCGCACGGAAATGGAAGAAATACAAGTTTTTCAGCGTCATCCTCTACAACCACCGTAGAAGCGCCGCCAAAAGTGTCCTAATTTTGCGCTTGAAGGTGCGTGATGCGACAGGCATGGAATGTGGCCAGCAGGACTACGGACGCCCGCAATGCTCGATTGATATGCTTCATGCTGGCCCACAAACGTCATGCGCTTGTCGCACACGTATGATGTGCTATCTTTGAAGAGAGAGAATTCCGGAACAGTGGGGGGGGCTAGAACCGGGCATGGTTTATCCTGGCACAGAAAAGGTAACGCGCCTGACCTAATGTATATGTACACACTAAGGGTAAGGAACGGCGTGACGAACCCTCAGGCGTACCAGCGGTCTTCCGGCGCGAAAGCCATAGGCTTTGCTGAAGTGTCCTCATGCTGACCATGAGCTATACTGCGTGACGGAATGGGTAATTTGCATGATTCCTCGGGTTCTTCTTGCTGCCCGTGTGAACCAGTGTGCTCTTCAAGCTTTCGAGTGACTGCGGACGGTGCGAGCAGAATAAAATTGGGCCTGAACTGCGGAAATGTCAGCCCGTTCTGAAACCTTGAAGTTGGGCCAGCGAGAGTCGACTTCTCGTAAAAGCCATCAATACAATATATCCCAATAAGATTCTATCGTATTTTACAGATTCCTGCAAGGACTCTGGCAAGTACATGGATGATACTACGCGCTACAAGATCCTGCAATATCATGACGGAACTCGAACTGTGCTCGCTCTGGGAGAATCTCCGGATAACAACAACGGTTTCCTTCCGCACGGCTGGCCAAAAATTGTTGCAAGATGTTAGATTCGAGTGTGTGTTAACTATATCAGGAAATGCAATAGTTTATGATCATTAACGTTACATATACCACCGAATTTTTTACTAACCACCTTCAAAAGCGTGATTCCTCAGGCAAAAGGTCAGAGTAAAACTGATGAAGGGGTCTAGTGAAAAACAGTTATGGGGTATCATGGGTGTGGGCGCTGTCAGCCTTATTCACCTCCTGGCTTTCAGAGATGGAATTGTGCCCTAGAAGAACAAGCTCGTAAGTTGACTGAAAACTGTCCTGACAAAGTCACAGGAGTACCAGAACAAGGACGGAATTTCTATCAGTAAGCAAAACAGCCCAGTTTTCGCTTTGACCTCTAGGAACCTCATCAGGTATTCTGACTAATTTCAGCGGCGCTGTAACAGATACGAGAAAAGGAAAGTTCCAATTCCTAAGCGATGCGGTAGACGAGTGGCTTGCTCCAACGGACACCTATGCTTTGGGAGCTGATGCTACCTTCGATGACAGCAATTTGTACTCCTTCGCTAATGTGAGTTACAGATCTGGATTTTTCCTTATCTCCAGGTTGGCCAATACTCGACTTTCAGATGGTGTACGAGAAGATTTACGAAATTGGTTGCAATTTTGAACAGTGTGGCACCGGTAGCACAGCCAAAGCTTCACTTCTGTGCATTTACAACACCAAGTGAGCGACATATGCAAAGTTCTCAAGGAATATCTTCAGTTGTTCAACATATTCCATTCCAGCGTTCCTTTGAACACAAAGCTTTACGAAATTGGCAGCACGAACCAAACCGTTGCGGGTTGTGCATGGGATGATAAAGTGTGTGAACACCTCCAAATAGCAGAAAGAGCCGAATGTGATGATCTGCTCTGCAAGCTGCCTTACAAAGTTCAGAATGGATTCCTGTAGTTTTTCACCGTCTCTTCTGTGGATACGAAATGAATCATTGCAATCAGGTCTCTGTCGACCATATGAAGGTGAAATAGAGGAGCTGAACATCCAGCT